GCTCAGTGGGACACTGCAGCACTGGGGGGACACACAGCTGGGGGGAGGAGGACAGGGTTTGCCTTACAATGAACTGCCCACTGACAGGGGGCTGGTAGATGCCATCGAAAGAGCAGTCCTGGCTCTGCCCACATGCCGAGAAGTTGAAGAGCTTCTTGACAGCAGCCAAACACCCGCTGGCATTGCTCCTGCCTTCCAGGGTCACGTTTCTGTCATCAAGAGGCAGGTGTGGGTCACTCTGGTTGGTGCAGGGGCTGGTGCGGAAGGAAGACAGCGAGATGATTTCCTTGTAGTCTTTGGGGTAGCAAGGGTGTTCAACTAGAGTGCTGGAGGGCGACTCCTGAGAACAGCAAAATCCAATGATTTGCAGGCTGCAGCTTCCTCCAGACCTCTTGCTGGGTATGCTGGGTGGCTTCCTCCCAGGACATAGGTATGCAGGCATCTCCCACCTCTTCAGCAGGGAATGACCTTCACACTTCAATTCTGACCTTGTCTGTCCACAGTTCCACCCAGAGCTTAGCTCTGGTTCTCCCCACATCTTGTCCAGTCCCAAGTGCTACTCCTTTCCACTGAAGCAGTCAAATGCTGCAGCCCCAGCAGGGTCTTCTGGGACGTACAGAACCCTTTCCATCCCAGCTCTTACCTGTCTCCAGTTCCAGCCCCAGCCAGGGACACCAGGAGACCTTCCTGGATGTGCAGCAAGAGCAAATGCTTCTGCTCTCAGGCTGCTCCTCCATGAAGACCTTCTTTCCCTCTGACCTTCCAGAAATGCCCTGAGAAATGTATCTGTTCTCTTTCCTCATGTTCATACAGACATAAAGCAATCGGGGAGCAGCTATCAGAGACTGTACCAATCCCCTCCTTAAAGCATCACTGACAAGGTTGGGTTGCTCAGAGCCTTGTCCCATCAAGTTTAGGATGGAGACTACATAGCATTTCTGGGCCTAATCCAATATTTGTCCACCTTTATTGGGAAGGAAGTTTTCCCTGCACCTGGTCCCATGCTCCTGCTTGTGGAAATGTCACTTTGCTTCTCCAAGAAGAGTCTGATCCTGACATTTCTGCACCCTTCTGTGAGACAGATGCACAAATCCAGACAAACTCTCCCAAGTCTTCCCTTCTGATGCCATGCTCTTCCCCACAACTGCCTACCCAAACCCAGGGAGCCTTTGCCAGTTCTCAGTCTCTCCTGATGCCTCTCTGAATGAGCATTATCTGTTCATATTTTTACTATATTAACAAGAGGGTGCATGGTATCACAAGAATAGAATCTAATTCTCCCGCACCCACCCCAGTTCTCCTCTCACCACAATTAACTCTTTTGCCAGGCGCTTCCACATCTCATTCTGCCCATAGCAGGTGTAGCTGTGAGTGTAGATGTTGTAGTTGTAACCATACAGCGTGAACCTGGAGGTTTCGTTCCAGTTTATAAATGAACCTTTGGGGACAAAGCTGATCTGAGTTGATGCTCCTCCAAGATCCAGCGCCCCAAAACTGTCGTCTGCCTCTGGATGGACCCACATGTGTGCTTTTGGGGAGTACTGTCAAGACAAAGCAGGAGAGGAAGAGGAGTATGGGACTACTGGAATTACTTGCCCTCAGCAAAATTTCACCCCATGTAAGTCAATGGAGGGTTGTTATTAAATTAGGTGGATTAAGGATCTTAGGCTGGCTCTTCGTGTACATGAGGTCCCGTTGTCCCACTGGGAGCAAGGGAACAGGGTGTTTCGCTCCAGCTTCCTTCAGTGTGACAAATGGAACCCAAACTGAGGCCTCCCAGCACCACGTGGACGTGGACATGGACTTTCCCTAGGCAGTGAGGCAAAGCCAGCAGGAGCAAACAGACTGTCCTCATTGGGCTGCATGGTTCCTAAAGGATTCCCATGTCCATGTGGTGCAAAGATGTGCCCCCGTTTTTCTGCAGGAACACCCCCATTCCTGATTTTTCCCGTCTTTCACTGTAAACAAGTCAGAGGAATACTGGCTGCTTCCCTCAGATCACTGCTAGTGACCCTTCCTTCTGTGCTGGCAAAGAAACAAGTGCTTCTCCCCTCCCACCTTGGTAAAGGACTCCAGCAGGTAGTTGATGGTGATCCAACCATAAGCTCCCTCCTCTTCTCCTGTAATGATCTGAGCCCCACAGAAAGCCACAGGATACTCTTGTATGGTTTTAGCAACTTCGGCCAGGACTTGGTCTGCAGCTGAGCTGTTCTGTTCCCTAAGGATTCAAAGGATGGGACCCAGGATGAGACATCACAGTTTCTCTGGGCATCCTCCAGTGCCTCACAGCCCTCATACTGAAGAATTTGTGCCTTATATCTAACTTAAACCGACCTATTTAAAGCCATCACTACACTTTATGACAGAGTCCCTCGCCATCTTTTCTGCATCCTGACCAGCTTCCTCTCAGTGGCAGCCCTTCTCTCCGGAATGTGACTGCACCACTCAGCTTGGTGTCATCCTCAAATGTGCTGAGGGTCACAGGTGACCACTCACATATGACTGGCTGCTGAGCTCAGGAGGTTCTGCCAGGACAGGGCCAGAATGTCTTCAGACCTCTGAGTGGGGCAGAGTGTGGGTCTGTGGGCTGTGCTCAGTCTCTGAAGCAAGTAACCCCCAGGGTATGACCCAGCTCCTCCACAGAGAAGGGATCACATTAACAAGGCACTGAAATAATGTTAGAAATGTGTAACCATAAAACCAAGAGCCATGAAATGAAAGCTGACATTTGAAGAGAATTAATACTAGATGGGGAAAGGCCAGGTCCTGCAGCACCTCTTTGCCTCCTGCCTCTGCCCTGCCCTCCCACCATCACATCTTGGCAGACACAGGACCCTTCTGGGCTGTAGGGTCCCAGGCAGCCTCCCTGACCCCAGAGCAGCTCAGCCACCCTGGAGCCAGCTTTGTCTCCTGCCTAGGGTTGGCTCAGGGCAGCAGGAGAACTGAGAGCACTTGGCAGCCCAGCCAGGATGCAGCGCCCTGCCAGCCCCACACCCCACAGCTGTACCTCAGTAGTCTCATGCCTGCTGTTGCTCCAAAGTAAACTGAGACATCCCTCTGCTTTGCAGCAGGAACAACTTTCAGGGCTTCTTCCAGGCACTCTCTTAGGGAATCACCAGCTTTTGAGGGATCGTTGGCATAGCTTGTTATGCCTGGCCCTGGAAGAGAATCAGGCTGGGACAGGCTAATGAGGAACAGACAAAGGATGGGAAGACACGGGGCAGTGAGATCTGTCACCTCTTAGCAAGAATGGGCTCTTTATCAGGGTCCCCCTGTCCTGCAGGACCTGGCTCACAGATCTCCCCCTCTGCAGGCTGGCCCACTGTACCTACAGTCCTAGCCGAGCCCTGTGCAGGTGTGTAACTCTCATCCACGTTTCATCACCGCTATTAGACAGGTTTGGGCTCTCTGCACCCACCCATCACGAGGCAGGCTATTCTTCCTAATCCCTTTCCTCCCCATTAAGAAGTCCCTTGTGCAGTGTCAGTGCCATACCATGATGGTGAGGCTTTGCCCATGCTTGCATCCTCTTTAGATGCCAGAACAGGAGCACAGAGAGCACAGAGGCAAAGCAGAGCCCAAGAAGTTGAAAGCAGAAGCAATGGGACCTGCCACCTCCAAACAGGAGTGAGTGAACCAAAGCATCAGCCAGAAAGGGCAAGAGCTATCTGAGGGTCCCCACCACAACCCCCTAGATGCACTGTTTCAGGATGAGACCTTCCCCCTCAGAACAACTTGTGCAGTACAAAGTGGAGGATGAAATTCAGAGGAAGCCAAGACACTTCAGTCCCACTAAATGTTTGGTCTTGTGCAGCATGGGCAGGCCAAGGAGAGGGAGGCCAGGTCAACCCACCCACCACGCAAGCCCTTGCCCAGGCAATACTGACCCTGGACGTCACAGGAAAAGGTCTGGCTGACCACACCGGTGTTGTTCTGCTTGTCCGAGTCCCACTCGTAGACAAACAGAGAGGTGTGGGATGAGCCTGCATCAAACACCATCCCGTACTGGAAGGAACAACCAAGACATCACGCTGGCGGGAGGAGCAGCCTGGCCACGGCCTTGCCAGGTTCATCAGCCCAGGGCGTGCCTCAAAAGCAGCTCTGTGAGGTAGGGCTGTGTGCACCGGGCAGAGCGCAGCGGTAATAGGATACATCCTATCTACACACAGCCTCAGCACAGGCACTTATCACAGCAGCTGAGAGACTTTTAGCTCCTTCTGCTCAGGGCCGTTCAATAATGCCAGCTCACTCAAGCATTTGCTTGGTGGTTTCCTCATGCTTTCTTATTTTCTTTATTGGTTGAATACCTCTCGTGTCTGCACCAGCCCCACCCCTGGGCCAGCAGCTCCCCATCTCAGCACTCCCTGCTCCCCAGCCTGGCAGAGCCCCACGCAGCTCGTGAGCAGCCAGCTGCACCACCAGCCCCCTACAACCCTCCACCTCCACTCAATATGGGAACCCAGCCCCCGCTGCACCTGGCAACCAGGTGGGGTGCCAGGCTGCACAGGAGGAGCTGCAGTGTAGTGCTGCTGTGAGAGCAGCCGGGATGGAGCCCGGGGAGCTGCAGGGACAAAGGCCACGTGGAGGTGCGTCGTGCTGCAGCGCAGAGGGAGCGGGCAGAACTCTGCCCTACCTACATGTGAGTGTGCAGTGGGTTTCAGAAAAGGCTTTTCTCTGCTGCTCAGGCTGTATTAACCAGGAATGGAAGTGAAACACCCACCTGCAACATTGCAGGTCCCAGCAACTCCGTCGGCCCCAACCCCAAAGACAAGCCATTGGTTCTCACCTGCCCGGTGCTGCTCTGGGACCCTTTTTTGGCTCACCTGGACTGTGGGTGGCAGAGTGACATCTTCAACCCTCACCAGGCTGAGGATGAGGGCGATGATGGACAGTGTGACCAGCAGCCCGAGGAGGGCAGTGGTGAAGAGCTTCTTGTTAATGAACATCACAGGAAGGCACCTGCAAACCCAAACAGAGGTACAAGGGGGGTGGGTGGGCACGGCTGGCTGGGAGAAGCGCTGGTCAACAGGAACTGCAAAGAGAGCATCCTCAAAACTCTCCCCAGACTGATGCTATCACAGGCACAAAGGTCCTCAGTGGATAATGAAATTTTTCCTGAGAGCAGCAGTATCAGGATAAAAGTGTGGGGCTGTGGATAGAGGGACAGGTCCCCAGCAGCCTGGCACAACCGTGGTAGGGACAAGTGATCCTCTATTCCCCACAGCCCCTCCTGCTCAGCTCATGGCTATGGGAAGGGATCAGGTGTGGCAGAAGCACAAAAACACTGTGCCAAACAGAGGGGGACATGGGAAATCACAACAAAACTCACTGAGAGGTATTGCAGAAAAGGGCAGTGATGCCATTGCACAATCTGTGTGTTCAGCTCACCTGTGGCTCCGGAGCTGCTGTGTGTCCTCACCACGGCTCAGGGCTCCTCCGCTGCCCAGCTGGGGCTCTGTTTATGTCCTTTGGAAGTGGACACTGCTTGAAGGTCGTCTCCCCATTATTTTACCTCAAACTTCATCAGAAAGTTAGAGAAAACTCTTGATTGATTAACGTGTATTTATGACTCGGCTCCTGCATTTTTCTGACACCTTACCCTTGCCCAGTAGGTTCCTCCTCCTCATTTGAATGGAATCATGCATGAGAGTCCTGCAGCAGCTGGGTCACACCTTGGCTTTGATCATGGTTAACTCTTACTCCTCCGCTCTCCTCTCATGCATACACTTCTGTTCTCTCTTCCCTCTCACCAGTCCTAACACTTCCATTTTGAGCTTCAGCAGGGCAAAGAGGTGAGAGAGATGTTTCCAGTCTGCCCTGGATCACACAGAGCGGAGGCAACTCGACCGGAGGTTTTACTGTGATGGAACAGGAGGGTGGTCCTGATGGGGGTCTCAGCATTGTTCCCTAATCTTTGCCGGGGGGTGCAGAGTAGGACATCAGCATGGCCCAGCTGGGGCAGCCAGCCATTCCCTGCATATGACCCAGCTGTCATGGGGCTGGTTGCGGTGGAAAGATGTACTTTCTGGCTGCCTTATCTCAGCTGAGTCAAACACAGAGATGCTGGCAGGGAGGAGCTCTTGTTGCACTGTCTGACCTTCCTGGAGCACTCTGCCCTATGGCTGTGTGCTCCAGCTTAACCCCCTGTGAAATCAGGGGCTCAGCCACCCCTGAACTCTCTGTCTGCAGCACAGACTGCCCAGCCTGTCACCATGGTGTCCCTCACATTGCCACGTGCTGCTGAGGGAGACCTGGAGCCCAGACTGTGGCACCACTCCACTCCCACCTCCACCCATCACACAACCTTCGGACCCAAGTTGGTTGCTTCACTGGATGAGAATGGATGAGTGTCCTCTCCCTCCCTGGGTCTGAAGATTTCCTGCTGTCTGTGCAGCAGCCAGGACGGGGCTTTCTGAGAAGCGGGGCCCCATCTCCAGGCTGGATCGGGGGCAATGACCAGCCGAGATCCCTCACACATCCACCTTTCCCCTAGGAGGAAATATGGATGAGTCTTGCGAGGAACTGTGGAGGAGTGAAGGCAGGAGAACCAGTTCCCCTGCACTGTCCCTGAGCAAACAGCCTGCCTGGTGCCGGGGGCTGGCAGGGCTGGGGCAGGGCTGCAGTGGGCACATGGCTCTGGGAAGGTACAGGGCAGGGCAGAGGCTTTGCTGGGAGTGGGAACGCTGTCTGTAAACAGCTCAGATAGAAAATCTTGAGGCAAGTCACAGGGAAGGGCTTAGTGATCTTGTTGACACAACTCTCCTCGCAGATACATCTGGAACAGGAGAGAGTGGGGTGCAGGGGTGAACTGGAGGCCACGTGCAGTAGATCCCTTCCCAAACCTGCATCATGTCCTTAGCGTGCAGTTTTGCTTCCTTTCTTAGTGCCTCCTTTCTTAGTAGGCTTGCTTCCACCCTGGATAATCAAATCAGATAATTAACTCTAGGTTGAGCACCAGCCCCATCTCTTCTCAGGAGGCACAAGGCTGGTTCCCCCAACGTCTGCCCATGTGCACTTTCTCATGGGTGTCACTGTCCCAGCTGGGCTCTGGGAGGCGATAGCAGCCCTGACTCCATGCCAGAGAGTGATGCCACTTGAGGGAGTGGTCTATAAAAGCATGGGCAGGGGCTGCACACTTAGCCGTGGGTGCTGAGTCCTGATTCTGGTGAGCCCCGGCCCTGTTTGCCATCAGGGATGTGCTGTGATGGAGTGGAAAGTGGTGTTTGCTCGTAACTTCAAAAGTGACCCAACAGCCCCATTCTTCCAACTGTAGACTGACAAATCTGCTTTTAGCAGGAGGCACGGCCAGAGTACATGCACACACCTATTTGATCTGCTCTTGAGGGCCATGTCTTTGTCCCCAGGCCTTCACGTGACTCTGAGACCCAGAAGGAAGTCACGGATCAGCAGGAGGCTCTGTGCAGCCCAGCACCTGCCCACAGCTGCTACGTGTGTGCAGGCAGTGCCAGTGCCTGGTGCCCTTATTCCAGCAGGACTGCTGGAGCTGGAGACATTCAGAACTGCCCAAGGGATGTGCGCCCCCATACTCCTACAGTTCTTGGAGGGTAAACAGCACGTCAGACCTTTCCTCCCTGTGCTCTTTCCACACGTGCCCTGATGGCTCTGACTGCACAGCCCCACACATAGCCCACAGACCGGCTCACAACCGAAGTCCTGTTCTCTGGGCTTCCCTCCCACTGGCCACTACTTTTTCCACAACCCAAGCCCTGAATTAGCCAAAGCCGAACAAGAGCATCATAACATCGAGATCTCCTTGCAGAGCTGCTCTGTGCAATCAGGAGGGCCATAGGGAAGAGGTAGAAGGTGGAACAGTGACGTGGTGGAGGTTTCCCTCTGCAAGGCTGGAGGCTGCAGGAGATCAGGAAGCCCCTGTGCTCTGGGAGGTGCCTGTAAGTACTGCTGTAAGGCTGTGTGCTCCAACTCCTGGCAGCCAAGCTTATTCTCACACAAACTACTGAAGACCATCGTGCAGGCTTCTTGGGACCACTTCTCTGATACAAAATGCAGTTGCAAAATCCAACAAAAATGAGGCTGCAGGACTCTCTTATCTCTAAAGGGACTGTCACCCATAAGAAAAGGATGCCAGCTTATGTTCACATGGTTTCTTGACAAACTGAGATGAAGCACTGCTTATTTCTTCATTTTCTAGGTGTTCTCTGATCACTTTGTGCCAGTGCTCCCAGCAGTTTGGAGCTGAGCCACCAGGGCTGCAATTTGCTGTCATCTACACAGAGGTATGACACATCCTCTGCACAGGAGCTTATTGAACACAAAACAAAGCTTAATTATGGGAATACAGGATGAGCTGGGAAGCCCATCAGCACATCATAGAATTCCCACTCCTGACACCCATGTGTTGTCTCTACCTCCTGCACACACAGTAAACCAGTGAGCTCCTTTCTGATCTTGGTGTCTCACTCTCCGTAGCCCTCTGAAAGAGTGTCCACATCCCTGGTTTCCTTCCACGCGTGTCTTGCCCACAGTCCCCCACCACTTTGCAGCAAAGAGGCCGGCACAGTGAGTGGGATGAAAGGGGTGTGGGTGCTGTGGAGGTGGGGAGCACCAAGGAGTGACATTGCCCTCTATGCTGGTGATAAGCATCCAAGGACTGGATGGGTCTGCCCTACAGACAGCATCTGGGATGCGCAGCGAGTCTGGCAGGGGCAGTGAGAGGGGGAAGCACACCAGTGAAGGGCTTCTTTTTGAGCAACGGATGGTTCTTACTTAAGCTGTATTTCCCTTGCACGTGTGGAAATGAATGGCTGAAAGAAAGAAATCATCCAGGCTTGCTGCCAGGGTTACTAATCCTCTGCACTGAACATTGCAAAAAGCTGGTGAGTTTCAAGCACAGAGAGCAGCTGATGGAGATGAGTCAGTAAAGGCTCTGCCCCACTCACAAACCTCAGTCTCTAGGGTTTGAAGAGATGAGGCAGCCCAGCCACGAGCCCCGGGTGGCAGTGCACACCGCAATGTGCCGCATGGCTTGGCACCACAGCTGCAGCCCAGCTGGGAGGCAGATGTCAGAAGTGTGCTTACTGGAGATGAAGTGGAGATATTTGAGATGATTGTGCCCAGCCTCAAAGTCCAACTAAAATTTGGCCTTTTCTTACCTTTCCCTCAGCAAACCCAGCAGTCAGTGGCTGCTCCCAGTTAGGGCTTGCAAGACTTGGGTTTACTTGAGGGCAGCTCCAGACATCTACACATGACAGAATGGCTCTGGAAAACACAGCCCATATCCAGGGCCTGGGGCTCCCACCATGGCAATAGCACCAGTGGTGCCACCTGGTCCAGGTTCTCTACATCTCCCACATCATTTTCCTCAGACAGCCCATGTGTGCTTGCTCACATGGCACATCTGCTTCCACCAACTTGGGGCAAAGCAGGATGCTGTCCAAACCACAGCCCAAGCATCCTTCCAGAGGCGCAGCTCCCAGCTCCTGACTCCCAGCACACTGCCATGTGAAAGCCACAGCCATGTTGAGAAGGCTCTCAGGTGTTCCCATATCAAAATACAGTTGGATGCTGCTGGGACCAAGTCATCACAGCTGTCTGCTTTGGGATCCTTCATGTCCCTGTGGTATCTCAGGTCATACTGGACACTTGTTCCTCCCATATATGAAGCCTGGTCAGGGTGTCCTGGCCTGGGCTATGCTCTGAAGGAATGATACAGACAGGGCAAAACCAGACTGGTCTCCCTCCAGCATGGTCACCCCCACACAAAGCTATCTATCCAAGGGCTGCTCCTGTTGCAGAGGGAGTGCTGGGACACAGAGAGGGGTGACAGCCAGTTGTGGGGCCGTCCCTGCCACAGGCTCAACCCCAGCACGGGGGGATGCTCCCAGGAGCATTCACAGCTCATATCACCCCAACCACATTGGTTCAGTGAGAAGTTTTGCTGCAGGACTTGTGTTCCTGAGCATGAAGCGATTCCCAGGAAGCAGCCTGGCTGCTCCAGGTGCCAGAACACCACAACCTCCCCACCGTGTATGCAGTCCTCATGCCCTCCCTGAGGGCAGCACCCACATTTCCATGCCACCCCTGTGTCCCCAAACGCACCTGAGAGCTTGCCTGGCCTTGGAGAACAGAGCTGGGGGTGCACGAAATGCAGGATGAGCCGCATGCAGGTGGATGTGGCATCATCCCGTGTCACACCCCACAGCCTGGTGACATAGTCAGGTTGGGTCTGATGGGGCTGAGCAAGCCCCACAACTGCTCAGTGCCAGGAGCTGCCCCATGTCACAGCGAGGCTGTGGGATACCATCATCTCTCTGATCTTCTCGTGGTGTGCCCCTTTCCTGTGTTAATTAGCTGGGTGGGTGGGGAGCGCCAGCAGCCCAAAGGCATCCATCCATCCCCAAAGGACTCAGTGAGCGTCCTCTCCTGACTCAGAGATTCCTCCTGCTTCCCACTCTTCTCCATCCCCATGTCCCACCATGTCCTTCCCCCTCTGTGTCCTTCACACTTCAGCAGACCCTGGCAGTGCCACCACCCATGCCAGCCCTGTCCCACCCTCACCACACCACCCCCAGTCCTCACCCCAGCCCCATGTGAAGAAGTCAGTGAGGTGACACAGTGCCTGTGGACCATGACTTGTGGCTTTGTGGGTGCAACCGCAGCATGGGGACTCCAAGAGTGGGGATGAACTTGTCGTGCAAGCAGGGAGAGGACAAGAAACAGCTCCTGCTTCTTCCCAGGTGCTGTGACCTTGGGGCACCATAACGTGACGCAAGTGAGCAACAGTTGGCTCCAAGTGGACTGACTCAAGGTAAGCTTGGGAACAGCATGGCCTCACCTGGCTGGCACCAAGCCCTGGAAAACCACTTCAAAGGAGATGCAGAAGCAGAGGAGCCAGCTCCCCACATCCGAGTGCCGGCGCCACCTAAAGGTTCAAAAGGACAAAGCTAAATGGGCGCTCCTGTCCTCTACTTGCAGTGATCCAAGGCTAGCACAAGCCACTTAGAGTCACTGGGGACACCCAGTCCAGAAGCAGGTCACAGCACACGGCCCAGCCTGAGGTGCCAGCTGAGGGATCCTGCTCGACTGACACTGGTTCTGCCACTGCCTCTCTGTGACAGCCCGGATGAGCAAGCACCAGCATGCAGGGACAACCTTCATCACCAGTGGAAATTCCCTCCTTGTGCACAAGGGAGAAAAGCAGCTCACTAGGGAGAAAAGCAGCAGCCATCTGTCTCATTGCCATCAGAGCATCTCCCAGGGCTGGGAGAGGTCTGCCCTGTACTCACAGGGCACTGCCAATGTCCCAACAGGCAGTAGTTGCCTTTGACCATGCCCCAAATGCCAACCCCTGCCTGGAACCACTCAGTCTCACCTGGCTGCTGGGGAAGAAAAGGTTTAAGCCACCACGGTGCTCCTCTCTATCTGCCCACTGATGCCTTGCTAGCAATGGCCAGACCTGTTGGACAGCCTGAACTGAGCTTGGTGAGAGCCAGAAGGGCAAGGGCTCAGCAGCAGCCTGGGGGCCTCTCCTTTGGCTACAGGCAAAGGAGAGAAGGGGAGCCCAGGGTCCAGAAGATGTGGCTGGGATGGAGAAGCAGCACATCCCCTCTCCCACTAGTCAGCCCATGAGCACTTTGCTGGCACCTCAGGTATGCATCTCCTTGGTGGGATTCACTTCCCACCCTCCCAGATAGGAAGTGGCACTGGCACTGCTGCCCAGAGAAACTGTGGGTGCCCTATTCTTGGAAGTGCCCAGGCAGTGAATGGGGCCCTGGGCAGCCTGAGCTGGTGGGGGACAACAAACCCACGGCAGGAGTGGGGCTGGGGGGCTGTAAGGTCACTTCTACCCAAGCCATTCTGTGATTCCCCAGCATCCCAGCTCCCTCTGCTCAGTCTGACCACACAGCTCGCTCACCACAAGCACACTCACCAGCAGCACAGCAGAGTGAGAGAAATATGCCAGGAGCAGTCGAAACCAACACTAATCACTCCCTTGTACACATTCAGTCAGTTCCTTCTTCTACCTGGCCCTGCAACACCGCACTTAGCTCAGCAGCAACCCCTTCTCTCACTGCGTGGGTACTGGTGACCGCAGGCAGGCACAGCTCCCCCATGCCCTTTAACTGCTCATTACACTGCAGATGCAGACACCTGTCTGTAGCCCAGCCATGTGTTTGGTTGGTGCCATCCGTCCTCATCGCTGCGTGTGGATGCCGCCACGTCTGCACGTCCTCAGCAGCCCCAGGCAGCCCAGGAGGGTTTGTACCACCAACATGGCCCAGGACCTGAATCCTCATCACACATATGGGGACGTTGGCAGCAGTAACGCCACAAGGTGGCTCTCACATCTGGCTTGGTGTCACATTAACTCAGAAGACACAAAGAACATCATCCTTCATCGTGAATGAGAGCACTGTGGGAGCAGCAAATGGCTTTTCACACCTCCAGTATACTTACTAGCCTTTGTCTAAACTTGACGTATATTCAGTACATATTATCAACCTATTATCTGAGTTATCTGTTATCTCCAGCGATTGCAGCTAAAAAGCAAAAGAATCAATGGGAGCTTCAGCGTTTCACTGAAATACTAGATTATTAAGATTAATTACTTAGATTTATGCTCTTGGCCAACACTTGTTTACCTGTTTGCCTTGTTGTGCCTGTTTACTTGTTTGCCACGCTTCCTAGCCTATGTGCCCACATCTGCTCACAAGGACAGCACACAGGTCCTCATATCCCAGCTTCCAGGCACGAACAGCCCTTGGGAAGGGTGATTTATCACTGCCCTTTCCTCCAAGTTCTCCTCTGTGCAAATTCTCTCCTTGAAGCCTGCAGTTTCTGCCATTAATCAACATGGTAATGTCCTGTGTGCTCCTTGTGCAGGCCTCAGAGGCAATCTGTAACAAAGCTGTTGTTCCCTGAATGAAGCACCAGGCACTTTGCTGTAGAGAGCTTTTTCAAAAGGGGAGGTGATAAGGAATATCCCATGAGATCTGCTCTGAACTCACACCACGAGTTTATATAACCACCACACCAAAGAAGAAATTGGGACATTGGTCCTTTCCTTCCTGCATGCTTCCAAAACGCTAAAAGCAAACACAAGTTATGCAAGAGGCCAGACAATTACAGGTTTTCTAGAACTCAGGTACAAAGCTGGAAAAGTCTCCTTCATGAAACTTCAGAGGCAACTGAATTCCTCAGATCACATCACAGCAAATCTCAGCTTCTTTTAATGCATGCTCTGCCCGCTACACCCCTTGTTGTCCCCCAGGTTCACGAGCCCTGCACTGTAGCACTTCTCAACAGCTTATCTCCATGAAACAGATCCTGAGAGTGCAGAGAGCCCAGGGCGGTGCCAGCAGCTGCGTACATGGGGCAGGCAGGATGGGTGAAGGAGCAGCTGAAGCTGGAGGTCCCCACTACCAGGAGACGAGTTTTTTGCTGCTCTCATTACAAAAAAGAGTAGAGTTGTCAGGGCCTCGACATCAAAGCAAAACTTGACGTCTCACAGACAGGTCAAGGGGCAGACCCAGGTCCTTAACATGCTTGTGGTGGCTGTGACACTGTGACACAGAGTTCCCTCAGGCACTGGCATCTAACATACTGATCCACACACTCCCCTGAAGGGCTGAGCTACCCCTGCCAGCACCCCAATGCCTACCTGTAGGGAACGGATCCACAATAGAAAATAAAAATACACATTTCTGTCCAAAAATATGCACAGCAGCTCTCTCTGGCTCAGAGCTCAGCCCCATAAAATGCTGCCAGCACACTGAAGGCATGCAGCACTGATCAGGAGCAAGATAGAGATAAATAAGCAATTCTACTGAAGATAATGGATCATTATGACCACGGTCTCAGGCAGTGCATGAGATGGTGGCTGCAGAGCTCCTGGCCCTACGGAAGCAATTAATTTCACCTCCATGTGCTCTTCAGGCAGCAGTTTTAAGTACAGATACTTTCTGGGGAAGAAAGGAATAGAGGAATAAACCAAATTATTCCATGCACTTTTTATTTTAAAATAATACACCTGGCATACCATAAAGTGCCTGCACTTGGGATATTTTAAGACTCACGCCACGGACTGAGTGAGCCTGAAATGCAAAAGCAGTTTCTGAAGAAACAAAATGCTCCGCAGCAGAACGGCGTGCTCCTCCCAAACCCTACGCCCAGCCTCACTGCACAGCGCCGGGCCGGGGACGGCCCCAAAGGCTCAGTTCACACGGCAGGCCCTAATCATGAGGAGCTGCAGAAGGATGAAGACGGGCGACATGATGAGTCCGTACCACAGCTCCCGCGTGCGCTCCACCAGCTTCTGGCACAGCAGCATCTCGAAGACGAACTTGAGGCTGAGGATGGTGAGGATCCAGAAGAGCCGCAGCACTGCCAGCCGCTTCTCGCCGTCCTGGAAGAGCCGCACCGACACGATGGCGGTGAAGTAGGTACTGAGGCCGTCTGCGACGAAGAAGGGGACGAAAACGACCCACCAGGAGAGCGGCGAGGCCTCGCTGTCCACCTTCAGCACCAGCAGCACGGAGAACACCAGCAGGGCGAGGCCGTGCAAGAAGATCTCGAAAGTGGCGAAGCCCAGCCACTGCACCAGCTCCCGCAGGGAGAACAGCATCGTCCCTCCGTCCCTCCGCTCCCGCCGCTCACGGGGCCCCGGGCCACCGGGCCACCGGGCCAGGCCCGGCCGCACCGCCCCCTCCCTGCGCCCAGCGGGACGCGGCGCCGCGCGATGACGTCACCGGAAATGGATGAGCCGGAAGTGGCGGCGGGGTGGGGGTCATGTGCGGTGAGTGTGGTGCGGGTGTGGTGCGGTTGTGTTGCTGTCGCTCTCGCTCCTCGTTTCCTTTTCAGCTGACCTCCTTCCCCGGGTGCCTCCGGTCCCCCGAGCATCCCCTCTTACCCGGTGTCCGTGTTCTCGGGTATTTCTCTCCACCGGGTCTCCCGTGTCCCGTTCCCCGATGCGCTCCGCTCTGGGCCCGCTGGTGCTGCAGGAGCTGCTCTGTGACGGGGGCGCTGCTTTCTTTCGGCTTTTTTTTTGGCTGTTCTGGAGCAGCACAGACTGCCCGTGGGGACGCCGGGTTTCCTGGGGATGGGAGTTCAGGGCCCTTGCTGAGGGAGGCGGCTGTGTAGCCGTGCAGTGTAAGCATCGCGACCCAGCACACGTGGCTGCGTTACTGGGCTTTGGGTGCTGCCCCAGGCCGCTTGGGTTTGGGTGCTTATGGCACCGGGGTAGACGTGCTGAAATCAGAAGCGCAGGGTGACCCATGCGCTGAGCACAGGTGGTGAGGAAAGCTAAAATGAGCCAGAATGGGAATTTCTGTCCCTGGATTCTCGGATTCTCCCTTTGTTGTCAGTGTTGACGGCTGGGCAACAGCAGTGTCCCTGCTGCTCCTGCAAACCTGGGTGCTGCAGTGAAGAGGGTGTCATGCGTCAGTGCTGTTTGGGGATGGGCACCTTGAATTGTGCAACTCTCACCATACTGTTTGGCTACCCCCATGCTTGCTGTTTGCTGCATTCTAATTTCACTCAAACCCACAGCTGCCAGCACTCCTCTGAAGCTAGGGTAGTTGTTGGTTTAGCAACACCTAATCTCCTGCTGTTTTCTTTGGGTTTGTTTCTTGCAGATGACAGAACGAAGACTCCTTATTCTTTTTGGCAGCCAAACTGGGACTGCTCAAGATACAGCTGAAAGAATTGGCAGAGAAGCCAAACGTCGGCACTTTCAGTGCAGAGTAGAGGCTCTGGACAGCTATGATGTGGTGAGTGGCCAGCCAGGGAGCTGCGTAGGCAGTTCTGGTCTTGCTTCATCCCCACCAACATCATTTCTGGGGCTCAGACAGCTTCCACCCTTGCTGTGACATGTACTTCACCAGACCCCAGCTCTGTGCCCCTCCTGAGGGTGGTTTGTGCTTAATCCAGCTGAAAATATGAAAACTGCACAATGACTTGGGAGTCCGTGTTGGGTGGCAGTTGCTCAGCCATGCTTTGTGTTCCTGCAAGGTAGAGCACCAGGGAACTGATGCTGCAGTCAGCACATGGGCAGCAGATGCTGCTGCAGTGCCTGTAGAGGAGGCTATACTGGGTAGGACTGCGGGTGTTATACTGACCGTGGTCTGTCTGTGAGCCCAGTGCCATGAGAGCAGCTGGGTCTGGACAGTGAGGCACATCTGTAAGCTGCTGTATGCAGTTGGATGCACCTTCGCAAGCTTGTTTCTGCCTGCAGGCAAACCTCATCAATGAGCTGTTGGTGGTATTTGTGTGTGCAACCACTGGCCAGGGTGACCCACCCGACAACATGAAGGTAGGATATGTATATGTATGTCCATGTTGCTTTTGTGTCTCTGATCCACTGATCTGATTTATTCCTTCAAGTATCTTGAGTGCTATTTTTTGGGGGGAGAGGACTCTTTTGGGGCAGTGTGAAGTGTGAAGCAGATGTTGGTTTAGTCAGAATGGCCGTAGTCCCCTAGTGCCAACCTTTGTAGGGCTAAGGAGCATCTCGTGTTACTGCTGTACTGCGGGCTGGTGAGATTTCAGCAGCTTTGGCAGCCGAAAGGGACCCTGCCACAGTAACATTCTCAGGTCTGCAGAGGGCTCACAAAGCACTGTCCCCCTCCCATCGCCAGCATAGCTGCTTTCAGGAGTCACTTCTGCAGAAGGCTGTGCTCCCCTCTCTGTCAGGACTCAGCAGAGGGCTGAAGGAGCCCTGTGGTGTGTGCCAGCAGGGCGGGAAGGCATCTGTGCACAGCAGTGTGACTCCTGGCCCTGTCCTTTGCAGATGTTCTGGCGGTTTCTGTTCCGGAAGAACCTGCCTCCTGCTTCCCTTTGCCAGATGGACTACGCCGTGCTGGGCCTCGGTGATTCCTCCTATCCCAAGTAAGCAGCTCCTGCACTCCTTGCCTGCCCCAACAGCTAATCCTGGCAGCTTGGGTGAGAGGGTGGGGAATGGGGTGGACAAGCAGAATCAAAGCCTGACTCTAGAGCAGCGGTTCAGGCAAAACCTAATTCCCACCTGCCTTCAAAATTCTTGCCCTATGAGTCTATGTCCCTTCTAACCCCCAGGAGCTAGGCTTTTGCTACGTCCTTCCTCCTAGCCTCTTCAAGCAGATACTTTGCTGTATTGTTGCAGACCTTGTTTTCTGGTCAGCTGTTACAGACACACAGCTCTCTGAATTGCGGGAAAGCCTGTGTCACAGAAATTTCTGGACCAAGCCAGAAGAAGGCATCAAACATAGTTAGAGGTGACAGCCAGCCCCACTGGTCTCAGTTCTCTCCCAGTTGTTATCCCCGTGTTCCCAACAGAGCTACAGTGGTAGCGTGGGACTGTGAGGGACAGGGACAGGGAGGGAAGCGTTTCTCCCTCTGGGAGCTGACCTGAAGGGAAACTGGACCCCTTGAAGAGTCCCTCCAAAGTTGGGTACAGGTGGCCTAGCAAGCAGTAACAGCTGCTGCATCTCCGAGTTGTCCCACAATGGAGGGCTGGGCAAGGCTGTGTGTGCTGCACATGCTGGCCTGTGTAGCCAATTGGCTACAATGTCTGCTGTCCTGCTGGAGGAGCCTGCCCTCTACAGCTGTGATTATTCTCTGCCTAGGTTTAATTTTATTGCCAAGAAGCTGCACAAACGGCTGCTACAGCTTGGGGGCAACCCACTGCTGCCCGTTGCATTGGGAGATGACCAGCACGACTTGGGGTAAGAGCCTCATGGAGAGGTGATGAGGTGGGGGGCTGTGTTGCACTACTGCTCCCACACTCCAGACATAGGCAGTGGCCTCCTGCTCTGTGTGAGCATGCTGGTCTCTGCTCAGGGCTCTTCTGTGCTGAGGCTGGGGTCACTTGTTTCACTGGGGTATCCCATGACTCCCAGCATATTGCCTAGGTCTTGTGGAACTGCAAGGGGTGAACGCCTGTGCTGTGAAAGGGCATCAGAGATTGTGTCCCAGGGCAGGTCCAGCACTGTCCAAGAAGATGTCAGACCCACCAAGGGATGCAAAGCCACAGTCTGTGGCACTGCAGCCTCCCTGAGCTCTGACAGTAGTGCAGACGGCAGGAGTAGCATTGCTGGTTCGTGGAAGGATGGTGAGGGAGGCACAACTCTGTTGCAACCTCACTGTCTCACTTGCAGGCCAGATGCAGTGGTTGATCCATGGCTCCTGGCTTTATGGGACAAGATCCTTGCCCTGTATCCTCTCCCTCCTGGCCTTGAGGTCATCAGTCCTGATGTATGGTGAGTGTTGAGGTTTGCTGGAAATGGCTGGTGTGAAATGTCTTCTGTGACTGTTCTCTGGAGTGGAGAGATGCTTCTAGGGTGGAGGCCAAGACACCTCCTCACAAAGCTGCTGATGTCCCAAGCATCCCTAAGACCTAACTGCTTCCACTAGACAGGCTTACTTTGCTGTATTCCAGCATCTTTGAGATCTCCTCCTGACAGTATTGTTGCATTGTGATCTCTTATCACGAGTCAGCTCCAAGGAACAGGGATAGTGGGTGGTGGATGCTGTGGGAGACTTCAGAGTGTCCCTGCCTCCCTGTATAAGGCCATAGCTATGTAAAGCTAAGTGGATGAGCTGTGGCATAGAATTGACTGCATTGCTGTAATTCCTGCAGCCTGCCCCCTAGATACACCCTGCACTACTTGGCTGAGGACTCCCTGCACTCTGACAGCAGCCTGCTCCAGCCAACACCACCCAGGGCTCTTCCTTCTGAGCTTCATCCCTTTGCTGCCCGTATGGTGTCCAACCAGCGCATCACGGCTGAATCCCATTTCCAGGATGTCCGGCTCATCGAGTTCGATGTCACAGGATCAGGGATCTCGTGAGTGTTTTTCTGACTCCCCCAAGCTTTTTTTAGTGCGAGATCAGATGTCCTATAATCTTCCTTATTTCCTCTGTCCTTCTTCAGAGACTGCAGCCTCTGTGCTGTCCCACTCCATGACAAAGTCAGGACATAGGAGATGTGCAGTAGCGTGGGTCCTGTTTTGTGGGCCAGCTCTGCCTTGTCAGGTTAGGGAGCTTAGTGTTAGTGGCAATGGGAATTTGGCTGAGCTGTGGCCTCTCCTCTGTTGTGGGTGCTGGTTGGGGTCACGGTGCTCTGCCTGTAGGATTGCCAGTGGCCATGCTCAGCAGTTCCTGCTGCATCTGCAGGTTCAGTGCTGGAGACGTGGTGATGATCCAGCCCCAGAACTGCCCTGAAGATGTGCAGCAGTTCTGCCAGCTCCTTCACTTGGATCCAGACCAATGCTTTTTGCTGAAGCCCACAGAGCCTGGTAAGTGCTGCTGGCCACTCCTTTACCTCTCTGCCAAGCCTGGAGATCTGCTTTTCCTTTGCTTTAGATCCAGTAGTTAAGGAAATAAGGATTTGTGGCTGGCTGATACAAGACATCTGCCTGCCCTGCAGTGCTGGGGCTCTCCTTCTCTCCCAACTCTCTATGCATATAGGTCTTTCATTAGGCTTATGGAAGGGACCCGATGGTACCAGGGCTGCCTTATATCTTTACCAGCTCAGAGTGTGAAAGATCCTGCATGCTCACCAGCCCAAGACCCAAATCAAGTTGCTCTCACTTCTGCCCCCATCCATGCCTATGATTCTTTGCTGGGGCATGCAGGTCCCCTGGCTCTGCCTACACCTCAGAGTCCTGATGGAGGTGCTTTTGCAGCCACGCAGTGGCACCAACAACCAGAAAATCCTCCTCGAGGCACCCACTCACCAGGCATTGCTATGGCTCTGCAGCCTGCATGATGCCAGGAGTGGTTGGTTTCTCTTCTTTCCTCCCCACTGAGTGCTCATCACCTCGCTGGTCTGGGGAACTGAAGACCACAGGAAGTCAATATGAGATCTACTGGAAAACATCACCCCAAGACTTTCGTTTGTACTTTAAACTGTGCTTTGGTTTGCTCCTTTTTTTTCCTGATTGCCTCCAGAAGTGAAAGAACCCAGCAGACATCTTCAGCATCACAGTCTTTTTGCCCATACATGGAGAGCACATGAATCCTTTGATATCTCCTCTGCAACGTGATTGGTGTGGTCAGCACCAGGAAGGGAGAAGTCCTGGACCTTACAAAGGATGCAGGGCAAGTGCCAGCCCGTCTGCTTGATGCCACCTGAGGCTAGACAGTGCTGTGAGGACCTTCTAACAGGCTTCTATGGAAGTGTCTAAGCTACATAGCAGGGAACAGGTGCTTTGTCTCCAAGATGCCAGCGCTCCATCCCTGCCATCTCTGAGCACTCTTGATCCTGATATGTCCCAGCATTGGTCCCTGGCATTTCAGTTCACCTGCAGGGATCTGCGTCTCATGAAGAATCACAGATCCTGGTTGGTGCACCTGCAGATCAGCATGTGAGCATCCCTGTCCTCTCAGTAGTCTGTCATGCTTTGAAACACTTCAGTACCGGTTTGGTTTGATTGGTCAGATGCCAGATTTTGCAGAGTGATTCTGTGGTCTTTTTTTAGGTAGCAGTGGCTGGAACTCTTTTCATCTTTCCTTTCACCCCACCTGCTGTTGCACTGAGATGTTCTGAGTACCCATAGAGGTTGCAGTTGACCCCTTCTTTTTAGCCAGTAATTGCTACTTCAAGACTATATGTCCTGCCTTCCCCCACCGTCTCTTGACTGACTGTCAGTGCTGGGATTTGGGCCTGGGAAGCAAACCCCAGAGAAATTCTAGCTACTTGTTGCACCCCTGTAAGAGAAGGAGGAGACAAGGACAGGCCTAGCACATAGGACGCTGCTGGTTATTTCCATTGCGGTGTGTGGGCATGGTGGGAACCATATGGATAAGGCATTGTCCAGAAGTACTTAGAAAAAGTAAGGGAGCGCTCAGCACCACTGATGTTCTCTGTTGCAAGCATGTGAGTTTGCAAAGCAAGCTGGGAAGAACAGGATGGAGTGGGGGTATATGGTGGGAAGCAGCCGTGGTGGTGGCTAACGTCAGCTCCATTAGACCTTCCTGTAGCATGTGGATGCCCTCGTGCAGCAGGGCTGGAGAGTGCCAGAGCTGGCCCTGAGCTCTCTCTGGTGCCTCTCTTGCAGGCACAGCCCTCCCTGCTCACTTGCTGCAGCCCTGCACCATCCGACACCTGGTCACCCACTACCTGGACATCTCCTGTGTGCCACGGCGCTCCTTCTTTGAGCTCTTGTCCCACTTCTCTACGAATGAGCTGGAGCGGGAGAAGCTGCAGGAGTTCAGCTCTGCACAGGGCCAGGAAGAGTTGTACAGCTACTGCAACCGACCTCGCAGGACCACCCTTGAGGTTGGCCTGGGGGAGCACAGCAGACCCATCCTTGAGGACTGCGCCATAGAAATAAAGCAGCCAAGGCAGAGGAGACAGATGATGAGCAGCAATTTATTGACTGAGGAATTTAATTTACTTCGCTCATTTTCTCAGTTGTCCTTGGAATAAGCAGGCTAAGGCTTGCTCCAAATTCTTAGGCTCTATTGTGGTTTTTGTGTTGCAGCCTGGGGACAAGGGTAGGGCAGTGGGACAGGCAGATTGGTGCTCAGAGAACCCCTGCTGTTGGGCCTTTGGGTGAGGGTGGCAGTGCTACAGGACGACCTCTGCTGCCCCAGAAAAGCAGGCAGGCTGCTTTCTGAGATGCACGACCTCTGCTCTCCGTGGCTTTGCAGGCCCTCTGGGATTTCCCTCACACCACATCTGCAATTCCACCCGAGTACCTGCTGGACCTCATCCCTCGCATCAGACCCCGCGCCTTCTCCATCGCTTCCTCCTTGCTGGTAAGAGCTTGGCCCTTCTCATCCTCATGTCAGGTGCTGTACTTAGTGACAGGACACTGCCTGGTGCTGCACCAGCACAGTGCACCATGGGTGTTCAGACTGCACTGCCTGACCCTGTGAATATCCACAGCCCACCTGAACCCCCACTGCAGGTTAAGGTGTTCGCATGTGCTGGGGCTGGCGCAGTGCAGACTCTGCACTGTCACAGGGAGCAGTGAGACCTGGTACTGTAGAGGCTGGCAGGTCCTGGCTGCAGGAAGAGGGTTGTGCTGCTTCCTGCTGCTGCCGGGAGGTGGCGGTGGGACCCAGCCCCGGTGCCTTGGCAGATGTCAGCCTGAGTACTGGTGGCAGTTGCTTTCCATGGAGGGCTCTTGGCTTGAAGTGTCTCTGTCACCATTGCCAGCTGCACAGAGCATTCCTATCGCTGTGCTGCACTAGGAAAACCCTTTTAGCCTGCTCTGTCTGTATCTGAGCACCTGTTTCAGGCTGGGATGAGTATTGCCTGGTATGAGTTGGGCAATGGAGTCTGTCCCTGTTAGAGGTATTGGGTGCTCCTCACTGAGCTGTACTGGGTGTCTTGGTTCTCATGGCTGCTGTCTGCACACAGGCTCATCCCGGCCGGATCCAGATCCTCGTGGCAGTAGTGCAGTACAAGACACGGCTCAGCAGGCCCCGCCGTGGTCTCTGCTCTACGTGGTTGGCGTCTCTCAACCCAGAGCAAGGTAACATTAATTGGACTATGTGAGGACCTGTGTGCTTGCTTCAAAGCACAGCATGGATTGCACAGAGCTGATGGAGCTGGCAGCAACTTGTGTGCTGGCTGCATGCTGGAGTTGTCTCAACCGTTGGTGGAGCACCAGTGCCAGCAGGACAGGCTAAATGCACAGCCTTCCTCACTGCTCCCATCTTTGGAGCATGATGTGCTCCCCTAGCTTGCCCTGAGCACTGTGAGCTCCTGACTTACTCCCACTCATTTGACCCTCCTACTCCCACCACCGGTGTGCTCTGCAGTCCTTACAGAGGGCTGCTCCTCGCTTCCTGCAGCTGATATTGCTCTTATTGCTAGACATCTCCAGCAGTGTTGAATGCTGAGTCTGTTTGCAGGTGATGTCCGGGTACCTCTTTGGGTGAAGAAAGGAGGAATGAAATTCCCAGCTGACCCTGAGACTCCTGTAATCATGATTGGCCCTGGCACAGGCGTGGCACCTTTCCGAGCAGCTATACAGGAGCGAGTGGCACAAGGACAGAAAGGTGAGGGGTGGGCATGAGGTGCTCCTTGCTGCTGGCAAGTCTATGTTCAGCATATAGGAGGAATGAGGAACTGGGTGCTCCTGTGGGTTTGGACGGGCTCGAGCTTTACTGTAGTTGGAAGCAGGCTGGGCTCTGAGGGAGGTCAGCACCAGAGAGAGCCTGATATGTGCAGACTATGTGGTTATTCACAGGCTGGGCTGCCAGGCTGCTTGTTGGGGCAGGGCAGGGCTCTGAAATGCCTCTTTCTTGGTTCCCTGGAAGTGGAGTTGGGTTGCTGAGATTGCTGCTGCGCAAGCAGTTTTCCCTCTGCCCTTGTCCCATCATCACTGCCCTGGCCCACTTGTGTATCTCCGCAGAAGGCTGCTAATAGGCTGGTGGAGGGGAGCTGGCAGCCCTGCAAGGGCTCACCCTGCCCTGCCCTACTTGCCCACCACACCCCACATTTCCAGCCTCTGGTTGTCGCAGGTCATGTGCATTCATGCTTACACAGTTCTTGAGTTGCATGGGTACTGATGGCCCTCACGGGGCATTTCGTCCACCCAGCACAGCCCTTCTGATCTGCTCTCCACAGGGAACTGCTTGTTCTTTGGCTGCCGCCAGAAATCCAAAGACTTCTACTGCCAGGCAGAGTGGGAAGAACTGGTGACAAAGGGCTTCCTGATGCTTTTCACGGCCTTCTCCAGGGACCAGGTTAGTTCTTGGAGGAGCAGGTTGTACGCAGAAGCACCTTGGCTGCGCTGATGGGAACCTGCTGGGGTTTTTGCCCCTGTGCCTGTGACGGACCTGGTGGTATGGCACAGTGATCACCTCGCTCCCCTGCACCACCTGGGTGCTGGCCAAGATTACCAGCAGCAGCACAGGGGCCAATCTGTGACACAGCTGGCTGTGCTGAGTTGGAAAGGTCACTGAGACGGAGCTGGTAAGTGCCAGAGCAGATAAGGTGTTAGCCAGCTTTGTTTGTCTGAGCCACGTGAGCAGCTCTCAGGCCTCTTTGGGATGGGGGGGGAGGGTCAACAGGCAATAACTTTTCTTGGTTGAATGCTGCCATCACCACTATGTCCCTCTGATCACCAGCTGAAGCTGAAGAGCTTGGCTTCCTGCCCCATTTCATGGTGCTGTTGTGCCAGCTCCCCAGAGTCTCAGTGGTGTAGGCAGAAGCTCCCAGGAGGGAAGAGCACCCCACACCTCCCTTACTTCCCAGCCAGTGCCTTTGGTGGGCATCTCTCCCTCAGCCCCTCTCTGGGCTGCAAGGTTTTTAAGTTGCGGGAGTGGCTCAGTGAGTCCCTGTTTGGCTGCCTTGCCCTATCCTTTGATGGTATGAAAAGCTCAGCCTGCCTTTGAAACAGAGATATCTGATAAAAAGGGTCATTGAGAATGGTATTCCTAGGTAGCTCAGCTGTGCCAGTCCTTTTCTCCTGGCTGTGTGTATGCACTGACATTAAGCCAGCATCTTTTATCTGGTTACTTGTAAGGCGTGAGTTAGATGCCTCTGTGAAGGCTTTCTGAGTCTTTGATTAACAGGAGTGGTAGAGCAGAGGCTTTTTGGATGAGTATTCTGCCTTTTTTCCATTGGCTCACACAGTGGATGGGAGACATACAGCTCCTCAAATCTGGAGGGCAGCCCTAGAGACTTCCTGCCCTCGCAGACTGTAGGGCCAGGGCTTACAGCAGTGTGTTCCTCTTGGCTCCTCCAGCTTTGCAGATTTTGTGGCACAAAACGGATTGGGTTCTGCTGCCATTGTGTCTCTGCAGTTCTGCACACGGAGCTGCTCAGCAGCATGGCTAGGTGGGATGTGGAGCTGCTGTGCCTGCAGCTCCAGCAGATGCCACAGATGTTAACTCATCAAAAATTTCTTTTTAAAGAGCCTGACAGGAGCTGGGATGCTCCATAGCTGAGCAGGATTTCCCTCTTCTTCTGTAAGGTTCCCATGTAGCGACCTTCTGTCACATCGCTGCTGCCCTGCAGAGCAGATTGATTCCTTCCTAATGCGGCTGTCACTAATTCTCAGCAGGATGCCCTAAAGCTAAAGCTGAGACATTATGACCTGAGTTTGTCTCTTGGGTGCTCTGGTTTCTAGGTAGCTAGGTCCATAAACGACCTGCTTAGAGCCCTGGCCTCATTGATAGAGCCTCTATCAGCACTTAGCTGATTAACGTTAATTATGCTGAGGTCGGGCAGCTGGCTGGCTGTGTTGGTGCTTGCAATGGGCTTACTTACCTCCTGTGGTGGGTCAGGGCTGCGTAGCTGTGCCCAGAGGTGACTTGACTCTCCTGTGCGCTGCTGCTGCTGGCGCTATGTGGGACCTGAGTGCACTGTGACACTTGTTGGGACAAATGGGGCCAAGGATGCTTGGGGTGCTCCCACACACACCTCCAGAGCCTGAAATGTGTCAGGAGCCTTATTGCCTCAGGGTGGATGGGAGGTGTGACAGTGCAGGGAGGAGGCTGTGCCTGCGGCTCACCTCGCCCCTTTGCAGGGCCCAGCATGGTGGGACACGCAGCACAGGGCCTGGTCTGCATCACAGTGTCACCTTTGTCATGGGGGAGCTGTCTGGGCCGGCAGTGAATTCAAGCACGTTGGCAATGGAGTTCCTTTTGGGCAGGCGCCAGGGCTGCAGGCAGGATGCCTGAAGTGTTGAGGATTAACCCTTTGGGAACTCTGCTCTGCTGGTCTGTGCTTTGCTGAGAGCCAGCTGTACCCAGTCTCTAAGCACTGGAGAGGAAGGGGGTGGGACTCCCTCCGGGTTTCCTGCGCTTTTGAGCTGTTCCAGGCCTCCAGTGGGTGACTGCGACCAGCAGCCAAAGGTGCAGGAGAGGCTGTACTTCACAGCAGCCCTGGTATGAGGGGCTGTGAGGCCTCTGTCTGCTCAGGGACAGGAGGAGCCTTCATGGGGCTCACAGCCCTGCACCCTGGGCTGTTCAATGGAGCTGGCAGCAGGCAGGAAGCAGCCAAAGGATTTAGGGGCTTTCCCCTCTGAAGCTCCTGCTGCTTGCACCTATCTCCCACTGATCTGTCAGAGTGCACTGACATGCACATGGAGTTCTGCCCTGTGCAAGAATTGATCTGCTTTGATGAGCACCTGATGCCCTCCATTCTCCAAAGGGGCTGCACAGCCTTGAGCTCTTGCAAGCAGACCCTGAGAGCAATCTGTTTGTGCACTGAGGGCCAGGTGGGTATTGGTACTGCTGGTGGGCTTAGCATTGTTTCTTGCAGGAGGAGAAAGTGTATGTTCAGCACCGCATCCGGGAGAATGGACGGCTGCTATGGGAGCTGCTGAATGGCCAAAGCGCTCACGTCTACCTGGCTGGGTGAGTGAGGTTTCTCCACAGGGACCAGGGGGAGCAGGGCCTTGCATTGATGCTTCTCCAGCTCCCTGGAGGCTTTCCCGTGGCTCAGCCACCAAAGCAAGCACTCCCTGCACCCAGCAGGTGTTGGGGAGCTGCAATGGCTGCTGCAGAGGGACCAGCTGGTTCCTGCCCTCCTTGCAGTCTGCTTGGAAAGCCCTGGGTTGAGGGGCCTTTTCTTACCTAGCCTGCACTCCAGTTAGGAGGGGCAGAGCTGCAACCATGGTAGCACTGTCCAGGGCTGCCTCAGCTCTGACCCACAGCAAGTCCATCTGTGGCAGAACCCTTTATCTTTTCGCACTGCTCTCCTCCAGTCAAAGTGGGCCAAAGAACTGCAGTTCTGCTGCTTGGATGGGTGGGAGCCTCCTGAAGCAGTATGTAACAGGGCTGCAGCTGTGCTGTAGCTCTTGAGCGGCTGCTTTTGGGACTGACTCAGCTGCTCACCTGAGCTTCTTGGAAATCCTCAACCAGTGGCCAAAAGCTGGTGTCCAGAAGCTGGGAGCATTCAGAGGCAGTGTTTGCAGCTCCTTTCCTGGATAAATCCTTTCACCTGCCTGCCCTGGTGCTGCTTGAGCAGGGGGGAGGCTGCCCAAGTGAGAGCATCGTGAAAGACTTCGGGCTCCACAAGTTGATAAGAGAGAAGCAGTGGTGTTTGCCCTGCATCTACGTGACCTGGAAGGCAGGACACAAGCCCAACAAATGCACCTTTTGCTGTTGATATAAGCAGTGATTGCAGGAGTCTCTTTCCTGCACATCTCACACTTCCTGGTGCCTTGCAGGGTGAGACTGGCCTCACTGCATTCCTCGGAGAATGAGATTTGTGTTTACTACCCAGGAAGGGCCAGTGGCTGCCTCATTGTTTCTATGCTGGTTGTGCTGCCTGCTCAACTGTGCACTGTATTGCAGTGCTGTCTGGGACCTGTAACCCACAGTTGTGGGGCTTGGTTTGGTTTCTTTCCCAAAGTTGAATGTCTTGGATAGATTGGAGCTTGCATGGCTCCCTGGTCTGGGATTTTGGAAGGGCCATGAGGATGGATGGATGTCAGGTCACTCTGGGACTTACTAGCATAGGTGGGCTTTGACCTGTGGTTCACCCTAAGTGAGCAGCCGGGGACTCAGGGCTGTCCCTCCTTGCTGGCTGTGCCCAGCTTATCCAGCCCAGGGCCAATGAGCTGAGGGTGTCTCCTACAGAAAACAGATTTAGCGTGTTCTCCATATCCACTATCTTGCACTCACATATCGGTGCCTGACTCAGAAGCAGTACGACTCTTCTAAAAACAGAAGGCCTCCTTTCTGTGTATTTTGAGACATTAATCAGCTTCAATGCAAGTCAGAATTCTCCCTGGTTCTTGGGAAACAGCAAGGATGTGCTCACTCCAGTTAGGACTGCCTGGGAATTTTTCTTTATTGAATGTTTTTTTGTCACACAGTTCTTCAAATGAAACTCACAGAAAAAGTCTGAATTCCTTGTTTCCCATTAGAAATAATTGCACTTGAAAGTGTTGTGAATCCTATTTGGGTATTTTTACACAGGAGCTTGTGTTTACTTCACCATTTCTCTTACTTTGAGGCTTGAACTAAATTCCATTGTAACTGCCACCATCAAAACAAACGTTTTGGCTTTATTGGCAGGAGGCTGAGGCAGTGGTGCCTTCATCCTGCTCCCTTGCAGCCGTTGTCCTGCCCAGCTCAGGATCAGGCACCTCTGCCATTGAATGCCTCCCTGAGATGAAAGGGTCATTTCCTGCCCTCCTGCAGTGAAATTATGACTAGGAACTGTTCCCTGTGTTTCTCTAATGATGCTGATGGGAAGTACAGGGGCCAGAACTGAGGGCACTGAGCTGTGGTGCTCTCAGCTCCGCAATGGGTACTGAGTGCACATCTTTGCCTGCAGATGCCAGTGCTTAGAAGCCCTGTGTGGGGTAACAGCTCTGCTTTCTAGGGAGTGGTGCAGCTGTGTCCTGAAGCTGCCATTTACTGGTGGCAGGGAGCCCGCATTGTGGGTGAGGCGGGTTACCTCTGCAGCCAGGCAGTGTGCTGGGGCACTGGGTCTGGCTGCCTCACTGGAGCAGGGGGGAGGTGGATGAGCCTTGGTTTTCCTGCTCCCCCTCTGTCACACCACTGCTCTCTTTTCCAGAAATGCCAAGCAGATGCCAGCGGCGGTGGCTGAAGCCCTGCAGTCAGTGCTGCAGCTGGAAGGTGGCCTGTCGCCCTCTGAAGCAGAAGAGTATTTATCAGCCCTGGAACGGTCCCAGCGCTTCCAGTCCGAAACCTGGTCATAAGTCTCTGCTCTGCCTGAGCTGTGCCTGAATAAAGGAGCCAGCAGAATGATCTGCCTTTGGCATCATCCTTGGGCTGAGGTTATTCCAGCCAGGGCAGGGACCTGGCATAGGGTGTTAATCCAATCCCATTCCCAGGGAATGGTGGGGGAACCTGCTGGGGCTGTGGGTGAGGCCTGGCTCCCTGTGTGCACTCCCCCTCGGTTTGGGGACAGGGGTCTCTGTAGTGGGAGGCTACTGGCTGTCTCCTGCATGACACTGAGCTGCCTTCCTGGGTCCTCAGCTTACAGTGCCCCCACGCTGGGCCGGCAGCACCCGCAGGCGTTGCTGTAGCTATGGCCTTGGCTGCAGCCGTTGTTTGTGGTAGGACCTAAAGGAAGTGAGCTGTTGCATGGCAGCCTCCCCACCCGGCGTTAGTCAGCAGCAGCAGTGCCTGCAGTGGGAGGCTGCCCCGACAGACCTGTTCCTCCTGTCTCTGGTGGCTGAGGCCAGGAGGGACAGGCACAGGAGGTTTGGTGCTGAGCTCCTGGAGTGCCACTGATAGTTTCCCATTCCATGAGCTGCTGGACCCATCCTCTGCCCCAGCTGGTGACCTGCCTCAATCCAGGCTTAAGCAAGTCTGTGGTCCCCAGCCCTTTCCCTTGGCATCCCTCATACTGCCAGCCCTCCTTGTGCCCCACTGGGACCAGTGCCACCATCTTCCTAACCCAGTTCCTTGAACTCCATGCCACAGTGTAAATAGCAATTAGGGACCAGGCTGTGATGACTCAGAGCCAGGGACAATCCCTGGGACAGGAAGGGGCAGGGGTGCCACTGTGCCTGTGACCCAGCCGCACTCCCACGCGTGGGATCATGGGGTCCAGAGTGGGTGTGTGGTGCTCCAGGGCATTGCTGGAGCTGTGATGAGAGGAAGCAGGGAAGTTTTTGGTTTCCCCACCCTGCTGCATTTCCTCTGTGCCCTGGGGATGGCTGGAGAGCTGCACAGAGCTGCTGCGTGACAGCCGTCATGATGGTGACAGTGTCCTGCACAGGCACTGTCCAGGCTATGCTCTCTCTTCCAATGCCTGCAAGTCACTGTGGGCACCATAGAACTGAGTTGGAAGGACCATCAGGTCCCACTACCTGCAGTGCACAGGGGCACCCACAGCTCCAGCAGTGCTCAGAGCCCCAGCAGCCTGACTGTGGCTGTCTGCAGGGACGGGGCATCACCACCTCTCTGTGCAATCCATGCAGTGCCTCACTGCCCCGAATGTAAAGAACTGCCTTATGTCCCAGTCTCAATCTCCCCTCCTTTAATTTGAAGCCATTTCCCCTTGTTCTATCATAACAACCTGAAGGGTCATGGCAGGGAGAGGATCCCAGCACAGGGGACAGGGGTGAACTGGTCTCTCCCAATGGCAAGACCTTCCAGACTGTATGCAGGCAGCAAGGGTCGATGGGGACATGGAGCCATGATGCGGGTTGTGCACCAGTGCTGTGCTGGGGCAGTGCGGTCTGCGCTGCAGGCCGTACCGGGGTGGTGTTGAGCTGGGCGCAGCTCCATGCCCGTGTCCCCAAGAGCGTTGGCCGCAGGGCTCCACGTTGCTCCCTGGGGCGTGGATCCCGGGTGAGGGGAAGAGGCGGCAGCGGTCCCAGCTCCTCCCCGGCTCCCACGGAGCTGATTGGTGTGGCCGCGGCCGCCTGCCCCGGGCCGCCTGCATTTGAGCGGCTTCCAGAAGCCGACAAACCAGACCGGTGAGAGCTGGGCCGGTGGCGGCTCTGTGCTTGCGGGGAGCGCCTGGCATCGCGTGCCGCGTTGGATTTCTCCGGACGGCGGTGGGTCGGTGCTGCGGCAGCGCTGGGGAGGAGGAGGCGGTGGACGGACGCTGCCGGTGATGCCCCTGTTGGGGTGCTCCGTCCCCGGGGCTGATGGGACACACCGGGCTGCGAGGGCTTCTAGCGCTTGACCTGGCACGGGGCCCCAGGCCGTGCCGGAGGGATGAGGGGATCCTGTACTGCTGCCCTGACGCCCTCCTGGCAGTGGGGCTGAAGCTCGTCCATGGAGCTGCTGGCCGGCGAGGAGCCGGGGCCCGGCCTCCGATGCACACAGACAGCTGCAGAAAGTGGCCCAGCTGCGCATCGGGATGAACGCGGGGGGCGGGGGGGCCCCGAGGAGCCATCCCCGCTCTGCAGTGAGGCACGCGGCGCGGCCTGGGGCGGCTGGAGCCCGGCGGTGGCTGAGGATGTGACAGAATCGCTGCTGCGTGGCTGCCACGAGCCGCCTGGCCGCAGCTCCGCCCTGGCAGACGGTCAGGGTCCCCCCACCGCCCCCGACCCTGCGCTGCCCCATGAAGAGAGCCCGCTGCCCGCGGAGGGGTCACCCGGCCTGGAGAGCTCCTCCAGCTCCACCCTGAGCCTCTCAGGCGAGGACAGCGAGACTGCGAGCAGTGAGAGCACAGCACCAGGGCTGTGCTGCGCGCCGGCAGGCAGCGAGGACGAGTGCCCCATCTGCACGGAGCCCTACGACAACGAGCGGCACAAAGCAGCCCTGCTCAACTGCAACCACGGGCTGTGCCACGCCTGCCTGCGCGCCATCATGGACACGGCCGATGGCGCCGAGTTTGGCCGCGTGCGCTGCCCCATCTGCCGCCAGAAGACCCCGATGCTGGAGTGGGAGATCTGCAAGCTGCAGGAGGAGCTGCTGCTGCTGCATGCCGAGCCTAGGCCCCCCACTGCCCTGACCGACCCCCGGCCTCCTGTGCTCCCGCCTCGCCGCCCGGGCCTGGCCGGCGCCCTGGAGCATCACTTCCAGGTGCGCTTCCATACCAGCCGCATGTTTGGGTGCCTGCCCTGCGTGCGTTACCCAGCCGGCCTCATCCGCGCGCTGGGGCGGCTGCAGGGCCGCTGCCGCTGCTGCTACCTCCTGCTGCTGGCCCTGCTGCTGGTGGCTGAGCTGCTCAGCCTGCTGCTCATCTTCCTCCCCATCGTCCTGATGGTGCTGCTCTTCCTCATCCTCGATAAATAGCGCTGCGGTTGTGCCCCTGGGAGCTGCAGTGCTGCAGTGCTGCCGGTGAGCCCTGAGCAGGTGAGGCGGCCCCAAAGCCAGGCATTGCCTGCGTCCTGTGGGGCACAGCATGGTGCGATGCCACGGCCGCAAAGGGATGGCGAATACGGGCAGGAGCTGGGCTCTGCCTGCCCACACTGAGGGCATGTCCTCGGAGGGGCTCTGCTGGCAGGGCAGAACTGAGCTGTATGTGGTTGCAAGAGATGGATTGGTATTCTCCAAGTACAGACTGAAAATACAAATTGTGTTTGCACCGCGATGAGGTCCAGCTGAGTTTGGTGCCTGGTGGGTGGCATGGTGCTGGGTGCCGGATGGGGATGGGAATGGTGGGAGGTGCTGGGTGCTGAGTGCTGGTCCTACTGTATTCTGAGAGGGAACATCAAGGCAGGGTCTGCATCCACCACACTGCTCCTGGGGACTCAACAGAGCCTTGAGGAGAGGACGGGGACACACGGTGGTCTCCAGCCCCCTGGCAGAGGGCACCTGTATTCCCAGCACCCCACAGCATGGTGCCAGCCAGCGCTGGTACCTTTCTCACACCTCTCACCTCCCCCCGCTTGGAGATAAGAGAGCAAACACCACTGTGCTCCCAACAGCTGCACGTGGGCAGCACTGGGCAGGACACAGGGGACGGGGAGAGGAGCCCATAGTGCTGCTGGGCACCACTGGGCACCTCCTGCATGGCTGGGAAGAACCTCAGCACCAGCGTTCCTCCTTTCTTCCCCATGCTGTCCCCCCTCCGTCCGCACCCTGCTACCTCCACAAGGCCTGGCTGGCACCGCTGTGCCCTGTGGAGTTTTGCAAGCAGCCACGTGCCTCCACTTTGCCCTCCTTCCCTAGAAATGCACTGCATGTCCCTGCACAGGGCTGTGACCGTGGGGACTGCAGGGCGCTGTCACTGTGTCAGTGCTTCATGACAGACAGGATGGAGAAGGGCACCCTAAAATGGCTCAGGCAGAAGTGCAGACCCCCCTGCCCCACACCCCCATCACACTGAGGGACAATTATTTATACAAAGTGGAGCAGCTCCATTAGGAGAAGGACAAGCTTAGCCTGGCTGGGGGCATTTTTTGGCTCTGTTGGGCCTGCAGGGAGAGGAGTGCTCGCTGGGGGGGCTCTGTCACCACATGGGACACCTGACACATGTCCCTGCTCTACATTACATTGTGGAGGGGACAGGTTTTTTGGGGCAAACCAAAACACAGCAGCTCTGTGGGGACCAGCACGGGAGCACCACACTCAGTGCTATCCTCCAGCGATTCGCTCTCCCCTCTCCAGACTAGGGGCTGGAAGAGGCTGAATGCCCCCCAGACCCCCAGGGATGGGGTCCGAGCTATGGGGTGGCGGCACTGGAGAGTGCAGGCAGGGCTGTCCTGCAGGAATGTGGCAGCCGTGTCTGTTCACAAGGACTCTGTTATATTTAGCACTGATAGCAGTCTGCTGAGGGCTGGGGAGGCTGCAGAGGGGCGCATAGCTCAACCCCCCAGAGCTGCTTCCACATGCACGGTGCCGTGCTATGTCCCACAGCCCTATCTCCCCATGCACACCCCCTGTGGCCCCCAGGACCCTTCCATACACATCTCCCTGCAGCTCTCCCCCCACATTAAACCTGCCCCATCATCCCCTTGTATCCCATAGTTCCTCTCCCCCTCCATCCCAGCCCCCACCCCAATGCCCCCACCCTAAGCCCTACCAGCTCCTCTCACACGATTGTGCCCCAAATGCTTCACAGCCCCCTGCAGCTGATGGCAAGAGGGGGGTGCGTGGTGTCCCCAGTGCAGTGATGTGGCTGTCCTCATCCCTGCACACCCAGCAACACCTCTCCCCTGGCAACCCTCTCTGAAGCTCTCCTGGGTTTCTGGCAGGTGGCAGTGGGGACACGGGGTCTGTGAGAAGGGTCGTGCTGGGCAGCACCCATGTTGCATGCCACCAGAGGCATGCACTGAGCATGTCAGTTCTCAGAGCTGGGGTTTTTGGGCCCCACAGTGTGGGACCAGTGCTGCCCCGGGATCTGTCCCAGCTGCTTAGGCTCTGTGCCACATGCCGTTATCTTTGCATCTTGGGGTTGCACTCTGTTGTGCAAGGCTCCTGGAAGGAGCTGTTGCAAGCAGCTTCCTCCCTGCTCCCATGGCTGCCCTGTGCCCAGGTTCCCCATGCAGGCTGCACAGCAGCATTGTGCAACTCGGGCAGGATGGGGCGGAGCTCTCTGTTGTTTTTGCAGCCAATGGAACTCAGCGTGCTTGGAAAATACAACCTGGAGGCCCATATCTCTGCCTGGTCACAGCTCTGGGAGCCTGATGGGGCTTTTGGGGTACTGGGGGGCCTCTGGCAGGCTCTGAGTTCCCCCTACAGCTGGGACTTAGGTCCTGTCCCCTAGTAGTGTGCTTGGGCCCCTGCCCTAGTGAGCACTTGTTCGAGGTTAATAGGTCTGCAGAAATGCTGGCACCCAGCACTCAGCCCTGAAAGGCCCCATTTCTTCCTTAATTGCAACTCAAAATCAAATTAGTGGCATTAAATTTGCTCTGTGCCCAAGAGGTGCCGCAGAGAGGGAAGGACGTGCTGTACCCTTCATCCTTACATAACAAATAGGGCAAATCCCTGCTTGGAGGGCAGAGCTGCCCCAGGGCTGCACATTTGGGGCTTCGCTCCCTTTGGGGCACGGAGGACAGCCAGAGGAGTTCTCCAGGGCTGGAGAACCGAGCATTGCTCAGGGCAATGCGGTGTTTCTGCTGGAGAGGGGGTTGAGGCCATCCCACTACTGAGGCTGGATATGCACCAGTGTGTGCTAGGCTGCATGGCCCAGCTGCACATCTCTCCAGCAGCAAGCCCACTGCTCGCTTGGGATAGGCACCAGGGGCTCCCTGCAGGTGCTGTTTGCTCAGGGTGCAGCCACGTGGTGTCACGCAGAACATCCTCCCTTGTGCCAACCCCCTGGTCTGGCCCTGCTCTTGCAGCAGTGCTGCTCCAGGTGCCCCCGTGTCCCGCCATGAGTGCCCGTGGGGTTGGCATTGGGTGAAGAGGGGATGAACCAGAGGGGGATGCGGCACCTCCTGCTCCTGGGAAGCCCATCCTTGGGGTCCGCCCACATCACCAGTGCCCCACAGAGCACATGGGGACATGGTGCGGTGTCCCAGTGCTACGCAGTCCCACAGCCCCACAGCATCACAGCCCGATACGCCAGCTCGCCCTTCGTTCCAATATAATCTTTATTGGGGAGACTGGTGGGGTTGAACAAGGCCGGGTATAAAACATGGTCATTGTCACAACCAGCGGCGGGAGGCGTTGGCAGAGCAGAACAGAATCGGGATCGGCCCCCGTTCCCCGCGCCCTCAGCTCCGGGAGCAGGGCAGTGCCAAGGCATCGCCTGCCCCACCGCTCCGCAGCCCCATCCCCAGTGGGTGCTGTGCTCTGGGGGCTGCTCCCGGCTCCAGACATGTAGGGTGGGAGGGGGCAGCTCAATGGGGCCCCCGGCTCCCCCAGCCCCGGTGTCCTGGGGGCCGTGCTGGGGCTCAGCCTCCTGCCCCAGTGCTGCGGTGCTCGGCCCTGAGGGAGCACTTGCAAATTATGGCTTTTTCTTTTTCTTTTTTCTTCTTTTTTTTTTTTTAGGTTTTTTGTTTTTTTGTTTTTGTTTTTTGCTCTTTTGGCAGCAAACTTCCCCATCCAGATGCTCTGGGGAAAGCAAGACCGTGCACAGGATGTGCTGGACACAGGGTCCGTCGCAGCCCCGGGTGGGTGGGCCACAGAGAACGGGTGCAGCTCAATGCCTTTGTGAACACGTAGCGGCCTGGGACGGATGGGGAAAAATCCTCCAAAATGAGGATGAACAGGAGCTTTCCTCAAGGGCTGGCGGAGGGCACGGCCACGTGTCTGCTTGGTGTGGCTGCGACTCGGGCGCACGGTGCGTGGCCTCTGAGATGAAAGCTTTGGCAAATAAATTACAGAGAGGGGGGCGGTGGGGCTGTCCTGGTGCCCATCGCTGGGCACCGCATCTCCTTGGGGACTCCACGGCCACGGGGTGACGAGATCAGTGCCACCATCAGGACAGCGTCCGCTCTGGAGAGAAGGAGCCTGGGGGAGGGTGCTCAGCGCTGGGGACGCACAGGGACGGGCCGTGCCGCCACATCCCCCTCCCCAGTACCACGGGTGCTTGGGGGGCTGCCACCGGCTCTGCGCCACGTCCCAAGGCGCAGCATCCCACTGCCAGCCCATGTCTGTGGCCGTGCTGAGGGCCGGCGCATCCCCATGTGCACGGAGCATCCCACGCCAGGCACTGCTGACACACGCGCTGCCGTCCTCTCCCTCCTGGGGCCGGGGCACAGGGTTCACATGATGGTGCAGGAAGACAGCGGATTTCGGATGTGGCAGGTGCAGGCGGCCCCGCAGTACTGGCGGAAGGTCTGGTAGCAGCTGCGGTCGGTGTCGCTGCTCCACTGCACGGGGTTGGCGGCCAGGGCCTCGGCCGGCAGTCTGTTCAGGATACTGGTGTTGACGGCCAGCGCCGCCAGCCCGTAGTCGGTGAAGAGCACGGTCTCCCGCTTGCAGGTGGGGCAGGAGATGAACTTGTACTTGGGGCACGACTCATAGAGGATCTGCAGACACTCCTCGCACACCGAGTGCAGGCAGGAGAGGATGCGCGGCCGCTTGTTGGTGAAGTTGTACATGTGGCCGCAGGTGGGGCACTCGAGGGGCTCGCAGGGCGTCGAGGGGTGCAGCACGTACTGGTTGACGATCACCTCATCTGACGGCGGCTGCCGGTGGAAGCACACCTCCGAGCTGCCCTTCCGCTGGCTCTGGTACCCGCGCTCGCGCCGCGGCAGAGGGGGAGTCCGGGGCAGCGGCAGCGGCGCGGGGGCTGCATCCAATGCCGGGATGTCCCCGCACGCCTGGTTGACGATGATCTCGGACTCAGAGGGCCACGCTCGTTTGGCCACCAGGGGCGGCTCCCGGCGCGGCGCGGGTGCGTAGCGTGGAGGTGCGGCCTGCAGCTCCGAGAACTTTTCCGGGTGGATGATCTTCATCGCCTCCATTTTAATGATGACCTGTTGCCCTTTCAGACACGACATGAGGATCGTTTTCACATTACCGTCCACCGCTCTGGGGTCTCCGAGGGACGCCTGCATGAGGCTACAACATGCCAGCAGCATGCAGCGCTTTCAGTCTTGTTCTGGAGTAGGAGCACGGTGGGCAGCCGGCGGTGTGGGAGCGCATCCTGGGGACGGGGGGATGTGCGGGCGCTGTGTACCCTGTTCTGAGTGCCCCAGGGTGCAGGCGGGAAGGCGCTGCTCACGGCCGCATCCTGCCCAAACTGCCTTTGAGGATGCGCTTGGGCAGGTGATCAAAGCATCTGCTCCCCGTGGGATGTCAGCATGACATCGCTGTCAGCGGCGGTGTCACCAGCAGCTCCCCTTTGCCTCGGTGGCAGCCCCGCACCGGGAGGGGTGAGCGGATGCCCACGGTGCGGGGCAATGCGGGACGATTTGGGGCAGGGAAGCGCGGCTGGAGTGTGGGCAGCGCCGCGGGGAGGGCGCCCGCCTCCTCCCAGCCTCGGCTCCTGTGTACGCCGAGCGGATCCTCGTGGCGTTGGTGCAGATTCCTCAGCGCTGACTTCCCGGCTCTCCCGCTCGCTGTCACCGCGGGCTCTCACGGGCCGTGGGGCTCATCCCGCCCGGGGCCGGGGCTGCCACGTGCCTCCTCGTTGCGGTGTCGGTGCCTCTGTTTCCAGCTCAGCTCTGTGCTCACTGCAAATGAAAAGCAGGAGGATGTTGGCTGCTGTGCTCCCCGGGGCTCTGCCCGCACAGTGCTGGCGGTGGCTGCGTGCCTCCATCCCGCGGTTCGCTCTCTCAGCACCGGCCCTACCGGTCCCTCCGTCTGCCCCACACATTTCCCCCGAGGCCCCTCTTGGGAAGGGCCCCGCAGAGCCCTTTGCCCCGGGGGATGCGCCCCGCAGCGCGGGGTCCCCGGCACCCCGACTGGCACACACAGCACCTTCCCGGGGGGGCTCCCGCCGGTCCTCCTCTGCTCAGGGCTCTCGCTCACGTTTAGCCCCTCCTCTGCTCTGTGGATCTATTTTTACCTCTATCGCGCGCTCCTGATCTGTCCCTGCTACCATCGTTCCCTCCTCCTCCTCCTGTCCTCCTCCGCTGCTCCCTGCCCTCGGCCCGGGGTTCGGGGACAGAGGGGGAGGCGGGCAGCGCCCTGGGGACATTTTCAGCCTGGGACAGCGCGGTGACAGCCCCCCCAGTCCGGGAAGTGCGAAGGCGCTCTGCTGTGCTCTCCTCCATCATGCCGCAAATCCTGTTAGCAGGACGCCTGCTCCCTGCCAGGCCTGACGGAGGGGGGCGGGGGGGGGGCATCTGCTTGGGGAGGGGTCAGCGACGTGTTCAGCCTTGGATACCCGAGAGCTGCTGGGGATGGAGGCCGGCTGACCTCGAGGGGTGACACGGGGGGGGGGGGGGGGGG